CTGGGAGATGGCAGGTTCAGCCTGGCCACTGGCAGGAGCTGGAATTGTGCACCAAATGAATTTTAGCTCAGTAGCCATGGGGAGGACCTGAGGGAGCTCAAACCAAACATGAGTTTTACTGCTGTTCACAAATTGTAAAGGTCAATGAAAGACAAACAGGTTTTGTTKAGGTTTGTCCTTAAAATGGAGGTTAGCCTGTGTGAGGACTGGAGGCAGCAAGAGAGCTTGTGTGCCACTGAGAGGGAAAGTAGCAGTAGCCCAAAGCTTTAAGGATGTTCTGGGTTTGCAGGCTGGATTTGCAGCTGGCACATGAGATCTGAAATCAAGGTAGAGCAGAGGGGCAGGAGCCAGGGCAGACTGTGGCAGTGAATGTGCAGATGATGTTGGAGGTGTTGGGAGCTCTATCCCTGCCTTTTGGTGAAGGTGTGCAGTTTGGATGAGCAGTGCTAGAGCTGTGCTGGTCTAAGAAAAAAGGCAACAATAAGTTTAGAGATGGAAGAGATATTTTTATCAGATCACTGGTATAGCTACAAAAAGCAGAGGGAGCTCTACCACAACCTTTCCTCCAGGGAAACAGAGGCAGAGAAATTCTGCTCCAAGCAGAATTTTCCTTTTCAGTCTGGGCTTCTGTTTCAGCTCTGGGGAGCAGCTCACGTGCCTGAAAGCTCATCTGTTCATTTTTACCTCTGCTGATGAATCTTAGCCCAGGCTGCAGTCCTTGCCTTGCTRCAAGTGCAGAGATAACTCAGTGGGAAGGTTTCCTTCCCAAAGCCTCTGATCCCATACGTGCCAAGACAGTGTGTGAACTTTGCCTGGTGGGATTCTCCTGCAGGCTTTCCATTCCTTAGGCTGGCAGCACACTGCTGGGCTGATTGTAGGTACTGAGGTTGAAATACTCCAGGACTTTGCTTTGCCTTCCTCATTCAGTGACTTCCTCTGCTGCTGGTCACCACTTTGCTTGCAGCAGTCTGGCTGCAGTCAGATCTTTGTAGCAACACCATCTTTATCTCTGAGGTTTTTTTGGTTCCTTCTCATTGTGGTTTCTTTAAGCCTTCAATATGTGTCATATTAATGCACCATTTGGACTCTCAGCAAAGCTTTGCTGACTCTCCTAGAGCATCTTTTTTTTTATTTTGGTTTCACTACAAAAAGAAACAAAATGAGATGTTCCTAGATATCTGGTTATTTTGGTGCCAAGAAACGCATGATGGATGTTATTTGGGTTTTTAAAATTTATTTCAAGTATTCTGGTGGTTTTCTCTAGTGGTTTCTGCTTCTTGTACTCAGATTCTGACTAAGGTGGCCATGATGCAGTGTGGGGAAGATAAGTGTGTTTGTGGTGTGTGGTGGAGGCCTCAACCTACCCCTGATTGGGTAGGTTGGSATTTCTGATGTGGTCTTCCCAGTTTGTATTTCACAGTCTCTTGCCTTTGAATATCCCTGGCTGCTCTTTGATGGTTCATGTCAGCTGAAACTTGGTTTGGACTGCTGCAGCAATTTTTTAAAACAGAGCTAAAGTGAATTGGGGTCTTTAACTTTGAATGTGGCTGTACAACTAACCAGAGGCTACATGGCAATTCAAACTTTACTTTTATAAAAATGGTTTGGGATTTGTTATTCCAAGTGCCTCAAGCAACCTGGTCACTGCTTCCAAGAGTCCTTCAGTAAAGCCATGTAAGTGACTGTGGAGCCTGTAGGAGAAGCTGGTAGCAGTAAGAAGTTTTCCCAAAGAAAAGAACCTTCTTGCTTTTGTGCCTCCCACCATCCCCGAATTCTCCCAGCTGTGTGACCACAGTGGTGTTTGCAGTGCTGGGTGCTGTGGGAGCTCCAGGACCAGGGGCAGCTCTGTGCCTCACGTCTGTCAGACACTGACCTGTGTCAGCTCCCTTCCCTGCCTCGTTCTGTCCTGCTGGCCTAAAGGGACAGCCCCAYGTGTGACAGTCCCTTTGTGCCACCACACAGGATCCCCTCAGTCTGCAGCTGGGCTGGCTACAGCACTTCTGCTGTTCTTTTGGAGTCTGTTAGGAACTGAGCTCGTGTGTGTGGTCAGCAGAATGGAGAGGGGCTCCCAGGGAAGCACTGGACAATACACAGTGTCCAGATGTTGAGGAGAGGTTGTCCAGTGGATGTTCTCYCTCAGCCCTGTGTGAACCACAGCTGAGCTCATTGCCTGGGGATGTGTGAAAGCTGTGTGGTGAAGGATGGGTGCTCCAGCCTGTTTCTGTTTCCTACATGCTGGTGATCCTTGTTGTTGACTGGATTTGGACACCAAGAGGTGCAGCTGTGGCTGGTGTGGAGAATGGGGCYCCCCAGGAGAATCACCTCTCATGTTACCTGCACCTGGGGTCTTCCCACATCCTTCCTTAATTCTGTTTTTTTACAGTGACATCTCAACCTGTCCTCAAGCTTTGTTCTTGTTTTTCACATTTTATTAAGGCATCTTTACTATTCTTTAAATAGCTTTGTTCTTGAGGCTGCCTTGAAAAACTGGAGCAACCAGAGCTGCTGGAACTAGTTCTGGGGATTGAATACATCATTTTCCACCTTGGCTATGATTATCCATCTCCTCCTTCAGCAGAGCAAACTAGGCTGGATTGCAGCTTTGATACTGCGTTAATACACAGCACATGTTGCTTAGGCACAAGTTTCAGAGTTGTGCTGTCGTGGGGTTGATTGAGAAGGTGACCTGTGGCAGCCAGGCTGTAGGGCAGTGTCTGAGTAGCTGTGGGGTGGATCCCATGGGATCAGRGAGTTCTTGCTGTGAAGAAGCAGTGCAGACTTGAGCTAGCAGCAGGGAGAGAGAGAGATCCCTCACACTCCAGCCCTGGGTGCAGTGAGGYYCCMTGGAGCTGGGCACAGCCTGGCAGAAGGAACATATTCCTTGAGAAGGTGATCCTGTCCCACCTTCCTGCAGTCCAGCAGCTCTCAGAGCCAGAGCTGGCTGTGAGCCCTGTCCCAGCATAGGGCAGAGAGCTGGGGAAGCATTGCTGGGGCTGTGTGGGGGGATCTGCAGCAGATTTGGGATGGAAAGGGAGGCGGTGAGAGCCTGGAGGTCTCTTCAATCAGCAGCACCATGGGGCTGCTCTCCACCACCCTTCCCTGCAGCCAGAGGTGGCAGCTGATGGAYGAGTGAACCTGGTGTGTCTGTCCCTCTCCCCACACCCCAAACCAGAGCTCAGAGGCTGCAGCCTGAGCTCTAGCAGTGCCCAGCAGGCCCAGGGATCATCTGGGCTTGAGGAACACGTGTCCTGCCAGCTCTTATTTCCAAGAGGGAGGCTTAATTCCTGCTCACAGGAAAGCCACAAGTCCCATGTGGAATTGACGCTCACATCACCACAGAAACATTCCTGGAGCCCATGTAAACCTTGCTGAACATCCCCTGGCCAGGCAGACACCTTTTCTGGTCACTCCACACGTGTCCAGGTGTGTGCTTGGACCCTTTTTTTGCTCGGGAGGACTTTAGCTGCATCCTTCCTCCAGAAGAGAGCACAGAGGGATTTTTTTAGGCTGGGCTTCTCAAAGGCTCAAACTTGGAGAAAGGAGAAGCAGCAACAGCTCTGGGGATAATCCTGATTTTAAAGAAAACCTGGAAAACACAAGTATAGTGACTTCCAGACTCTGCACCGGCCTTGGATTGGGATTGTGTGTCTGGGTCCTGCCTGTGCAGCCGGGAGGCAGGAGGAGGCTGCAGCCCCTGAAATGCTCACACACAGCAGTGCCAGCCCCAGGACCTGCCCAGCACGCCAGGAACTCTTCTCTCCTGCTGGTTGCTCCAAACTCAGGTATGAAATGCTCAGCTGGAGCACGGGGTGTGAGGTCTCCGTGGGTCTCCYGGCAGCCCTGGAGGAGCGGCTGCCGCTGGGCACAGCTCCCTGTGCCACCCCAGGCTTCTCATCGCCTTTGGAAGGGAGTGTCACCTCCTTGGTACAACATTGGCTACGTGGACATTACACAAACTCTGCACATTGGTTCAGTCTACGCTTAGTATTTGTGAATTAAGTTATCTGATGCTTCGCATGAAAACTTAAAAAAAAAATGGGGTTGGGGGGGTGGATTTTAACTGAGAAAAAACCTATGAAAATATACTGGAAATATGGTAAATCGACATTCTGCTGTATATTGACAGAATTATTTTTATTAAAATACACATCCATGTGCAAGAGCCAGTGTGGAGCCGTGTGCTTTTTCAGTCTCTGCTCTCCAGGGAAAGCCACTTGTGTCCCCTCTGACATGGGATCCACAGTCCACAGGGTGTTTGTCCCCCAATTTCTGATTCTGCTTCAGTTTTTCACCACTGCGTCATCCCATGGTGCTTACAGCTCATGGGCAAAAGTGTCTTTAGGGATGTTCTTCCTGTGCCATTCAGTGTCAGAAAATACAGCACTGCAGTGTTTTCTGACCATGAGAGTAAAACACAGATGGAGCTTTAGGCTGAGGATCATTTGCCACATTGTTTGTATTCACCTTCCTGAGGTTTTCCCCTCCCATTAGAGGAGGAACCAACAGCCTGGTGTTAATATCTCGGATCCCACACTGCTCCCACCCCTCCCCAGCCCTGCAGAGGACCCGTCTGCCCAGCTGAAGGGGTTGTGTCCTCACCCTCCTGGCACTGTGGACATTGTTCCTCATCTCCCTCAGATACTTGGCAGCAGCCACCAGCACATTTGGAAGCTGACAAGGTATTAAGGGTTGGGTAGATCAGTATCTTTCCCAGAACCCTCCCCTTAAATCTGGAGCATCTTCAAAGCCCATGGAGCCCTGAGGATGTACAGCCTTGCCTGGGGGTGAGGGCAACCTCACCTATGGTTCTGGACCTGTGGGTCAAGGCCTGGCTCCAYTGTCACATCCCCAGTGACACACACTGTGACCAGGCACAGTTTGCTCCTGGAGAAATACAAGCTTGTGGCAAAGAAATACAAGCTTTTGTTGCAGCATGCCTTGGGCTGCCTTGTAGGATCTGCTGCTTRGGCTGGAGAATCAGGAGAAATTCAAACAGCAGCTTGAGGCAATGAGTCTTTAATATAAATATTTKTTCCACTGGTACATCTTGGCAGGGCAGTGAGAGCAGGAGGAGCTGGGTAGCTGGCTGGTTTGTGGCACGGTGACACCTGATCCTGCAGGGATGGCTCCTCCTGCAGTGACAGTGTCTGCTGCCACAGCACCCTTTGGAGAAGAGCTGCCAGCACCGTTGGCTCCCTCCAGGGACAGGAGGACTGGATGGGCAAGTCAGACGGTGGATGGATTATTTTTTGCTTGAAGCCGTTTTACCATTTTCTTCACCCAGGACTTCTTGGGGTCGGCACAAATCTCATCACCACTGGCAGCCACAATCCTGCAGTGAGAAAGTGAGAAAAAAGTGAAAACAAAGACAAACCGTGAGCTGTTCCCTTCCCATATCCTATTTCTTCCCTCCCTTTGTGCAGCTCCATCCTGGATTGAGGCTTAGAGCAACCCCTGCCCTCCTTGGGCTGATGGTGARTGTCTGAGCCTTCCCAGAGCACTGGCACGAGCAGAAAGCCCTAAAATCTATTTTTTCCCCTCTTTGTCCACCCCCCAGAGCTCTCCCGGCTGGGACTGAGCTGTCTGGGGCAGGATGGGATGGGGCAGCTGCTCCAGGTCTGGGAAGGGAAGCAAACCCTGGGATACTCACACAACTGCAGGCTTGGGGCAGTCTTTGGATGTCCTGTAGAAGCTCTGAGGGTGTCGGATGGGTTTCTGTGCGTACTCAAAGCAGCATTCCACAGGTGCAAARTGTGCTGTGGAGGGAACGGGGATGCTGTGAGTTGAATCACCAGACAATGGCACCCCAGGATTTGGAACACAGCACAGAGGCTGTGGAGCTTCTCAGCAGTTCCTGCAGCATCCCATGACAGGGGTTTGTCACCCTTCAGGATGGGGACGTGGACAGCAGTGGGGAGGGGGACAGCCAGGGACCCGGCACCTCACAGCCCGAGTTACTGCAGCCACCAGAGCACACGGCAAGGTCAGGGTGCTCGGTCTGGGGATGAGCTTTGGGGGTTCCCAAAGCAGGGGCACAAATTGCAGGGTGTTTTGGAAGGCTCCAAGCAGCTGCATGTTCTCCCTCCTCCCTCCAACCACTTGTTCATCCAGCTGAGACCTGGGGAACGACTGCYAGAGTCTCCTCCAAGCTCCCACAGCCTCTCCCAAATCTGGCTTTGGCTGAGACCCCCCAGCACCTTCTCCATCCATCCCTGCATCCCGGGATGGCTGCCCTGCCCTGGCCAGGGCTTTGCTCCTCCCCARCGGGACGTCCCCAGTGCGGGCTCAGAGCCCTGTCCCGCAGCCCCAGTGGCCCAYGAGGTTCCTTACCTGAGGCGTGGTGCAGGGAGAAGCTGAGGAGCAGGGTGAGCAGCAGGACGGTCCTTGCAGGGAGCATGGTGGCTSTGTGGTGGCTCTTGGTCCGTCCTCTGTGCTTCCCTGCCTGCTGGCCGTGGCTTTGGCTCTCCCCGTGCTGTCATTTATCCTCTGCTTGCCGCCCACTCTCTGGCGCGTTTCCAAACATTTCCATTGTTCTAAGAAACCTCTTCATGGGGACAAGGGGCTTTCTCTCGTTTATTTTTGGGACCCATCCAGTGATGGGTGGAAAAAGTTTCARGAGCAGTTCTGCTTTCAATGGAAGGGCCATGACGTGGCAAGGAGCTTCCAGGAGATTTTGGCAGAACTGAAAGTAGATTAAAACCGTCTTCCTATGAAGGAAGAACATCAAGTCTGGTGCTCATCTGTTTGTTTCTAACAGGAGAGACAATCCACAGTCTGGGGAGGGGACGGGACGGGACGGGA